TGTGGCTGGTTTCATATTTTATTTGCGGCCCCAAAAAGACAAAAAAAAACTAGCAAACCATCAACCAGGTGCATGTCCAGCTGCAAGTCCATGTCAATTTGCTTGAAGTGCTCCGCTCGAGAGCCGGCAAAGCCAATGCCAAACGCGCTGCAAATTAAAATTGCCTAGCCGTTGTGCCATAATGAAATGGCTTTCTGGTTTAAGCCGGAACAAAATGAAAGGGCCCAGTGTCACCCAGAGATTTTAATGAAGTTCCTGGCAAAGGAGTAGGATGAGACCGTAAGTATAGTGCCAAGCCAAGCCAAGCCAAGCTAGACAGAGCGAGAGTCACTTTATTTTATTAGAAACCTGTTTACCAAGCATTTGCACACAAATTAAATATGGTCCGCTACTCCTGGGAGCAAAGTGGTTTCCGCTGCTGCCATTAGCAGTCGCTACAGTCAATTCAATCAGACCAGTTAGCACAGCTCAAAGCCAACTTTGCAGACACGTTAATCGGGGCCAAACACAATTTCTTCATTTGCTCGGTGAACTTTTTAATATCACCTCGATGATGATTATTATCCTCGATTATGAGGTTGCCAACCTTAAGTTCTTCCCCTAGACATAGTCAAAAGTCTTGTTCAGGCAACAAGTTCTCTTACACTCTCTTTCTCTCCCTCTCTTTCTCTGAGGATTCTTGCCACACATGCTCTGGATGGGGTAATAAGCGGCACATTGCCCCATGCTCTGCGTTTAAGTGCGATTCCATCTCTGGCCTTAAATGCAGCAATAAACCGGAATCGCTTTCACTGGAGCAACTGGGGCAACTGTGCTCTCTGTGACTAATGTCAGCTCCTGACATTCATGGCAATAAAATTCCACTCCTTACAACATGTCAATCTCCCTTACCCGCCGATCCGGCCTGGGTTTATGTTTATGATTTAATTGTCAATAAAATAATCATTTGCAAGCCTTTTGCCAGTGCAACCGCAGTACGTGCCAAACAGAGTTCAAGCAAATTTTTACCAATAAACGAATGTGGCAAAAGGGAAAAGGGCAGATCGAAGCCACAGACAGGAAGGGTATGCACTGAGCGAAAAGAGAGCGTAAATTGAACTTGGAATAGTAGAAGTCTTTTGTAGTTAAAAGATTTTCCCCAAAATTGTTTAGAAAACAAGTTGATTTAACCTTTTCATCTATGGATTTCGATTTCATAAAGTTCTTAGAGGAAATTAAAATCAACAAAGGATTTCCACAACTATGGACATCATACATTATTTACTTACAATTTCAAGAACAAAAGCCGGGAATATGGCAAATATTTCTTTGTGTGTAGAATAGGGCCAAAATAAACCGACTAAAACTGTAGGGGGCCACAGGAACTGAGAGCCCTGGCTGGCACTTAAGTTATTGACGAGATAAAGTTGAGGATTTTCTGTGCATTTTTGTGAAGTGCCAGCTGAAGCCCATAATGACGGAGCTCGAGTTGGATAGCAAGCGGAGGAATATGGAGATATGGGCTGTGGATATGGCTTGTGGAGCAGGGAATCAGTTGGATATGAAGCTGGTAAGTTGGCTAGGAGGCTGGAGCGGCGAAGCTGGGTGAGATGATGGCGTTGACGTTGATATTGTCGACAGTTTTGATGCCTGTGCCGGCAGACTCACGTAGAGAGATGAAGCAATATGTGCTGCCCGGACTGAAGGCTTTGAGTGCCTCGTCCTTTCTCAGCATGTGTGTGTGTGTGTGGATGATGACAGGTCTAGCCTGTTTGCTCAAATGCTGCTCCTTTGCTCATGACACCAGAAGCAGGACAACAGCCAAATCAAACAAACCAAAAAAGAAGGCGAAGAAGGAAACCAATAAAAAGCCAAGCGAAACGGAGGCGGAAAAGAAAACATTGTGACCAAGCAAGCAATGCCAACGTCCCCCAAGGATACACAAGAAGAAAAAAATAGTAAAATGTTGACAAAATAAATACAAAAAAAAGGTAATGCAAACTACTTAATTAGATATTTTATAAGTCTGCCATTAGCAGTTTTATAAACTATAATTTATTGATTAAGTTAGAGGTTTATAAATTATTTTATAAAATTCATAAATCAACGATTATGAAATATTTATTAATGCATCTTCGATCGTATATCATAAAGTGTTTGAATAATATTTTAAAGAGCCTCGAGAGTGTGAAATATGATTATTGAATGGCTGATTCACATGATTGATTATTTTCCTGTGTACATGTAGGCATCGCTTGCCTCATCGATTTTCACTTGAGTCTTAAACGCGACGAGGCAACTCTCCGGAGTCGCACAAACAAATGCGCGTAAATTTTGCTTAGCGCGCAATTCAAGTGCAAATACTTGACACCGCCGCACCTAAACTGGGGAAAAGTAGAGGAGGAGGCTCTGAAGGTGGAAAATGGAAGGAAAACGGTTGGTTAAACGGGTCGGGTGGGCAGGGAATGATGGATGAACACCAGCCTACTCAGTCTTGCAATGCCATCAACTTGTAGGCCTCAAGAGCCTCTCGATGCGTCCTCGTCCTCATCCACGTCCCCGTCACACGTCAATATCCTTTTTGTGGTTTCCTTTTTTTGTTGTTTTCTTTGGTTTTTCTACGTCCCCTTCCTAAAAACCCCAACAAAAACATTGGCAACTTTTCCGGCTCATCTGCCGCTGGCATTCCACCTATTATCGTTTGTTTTAACCAAGTTTTGCACTGCCTGATGTCTGATTTATTTGCATTTGGGTTTGCGGTCCATGCAGTTAATAAATTTCACTTACCCACTCGCACACAGACATCATGAGTATATATAGTATACTATATAGTGTTATCTAACTGGGAAATGTGAAATGAGGTTGGGGATGAAGGAAGGAGGGGTGAAAACAACTTTTACGAAATGCGAGAGTATCGAAAGTTTTTGGGTTAAAGTTTTGCTGGCGCAACTTACCTATGTCAAATTGATTAGTTGAGTCGGACAGCTGAATCCAAATCTGTTTTTCCCCCTGAGGCGATTTGGGGGATGCAGATAATTTGATTGTGTGATTTATGTCACAATATATATTCAACATTAATGAAGATGAAGGAGATTTGCGGTTGGCAAATGCGAACTCTATCTGCCAACTGTTTTGCACTTCATTAATTGTAAAAAAAAATGCTAGAATAAAAAAGGATTGTGGGTAGATGGGGGAAAATGCAGTCTGACAACCGCAAATGCAAATATTTGAAAAGCGGAGCTGCGATGTCTGTTAACTGGTCTACAAGCCAAAACTAATTGTTACTGACACTCGCAGTTTGCCGAAGAGCCAGACAAACGTCCTGCAGCAATTGAAAAACACCATGGAATCAGGGAGTTCGCCGAAAATTTCCAGGGACTGGGAAAGGTACTGGGAAGCTGAAGCTACCAGACAAAGTAAAGTTATTTGCGGTTCATTATTCACTTTTGGATTTTATTTCCTTGCGGTACTCGTCCGGGCACGATCGAAGACAGTGATGGACAGCAGATTGAAGTCCGGTTCGAAACACGTTGCCCTTCTGTGTAAGTTAAATCCTCAAGCCCCGGTGCTCTCGAGCTGCATGCAAAATGACCTGACAATGGAGTAGCGTTTGCCCAGCGAACTGGAGCGGATTGGTGGGGATTCGGGAGTTTGGGGTGTGGGGTATTGGAACCCGGACGAGACGACGTTTAAATTGGGAAATTTTGCTTGGCTGCATTCAAAGCAGCAATCGAGGAGCATTTTTGCTCTTTGCTTATTCATCTAGCAAGTTGAAAAATAAATTAATAATGCGTTCTTGCCACTGACGGCAGCTGCAACCGCACAAGGAGGAAAAGTTGGAGAGGGGCACTGAGACACTGTCAGGGACTTGGAAAATTCGTGCTGAGCTTTTTTGCGCGCTATCTCTCTGTCTCTCTCCCCTCTCTCTCTCACTCTATATATATATATATATATATATAAAGATATATGCAGTTTATATCTGACTCGTCGTCCGATTCCCGCCTTTCGTCCCTGAGTCCATGACCACGTCCATCTACATCTTCTGCGTCTCTTTTTTTTTTGCTCATTCTCCTACCGACACCCCTGGCCCTAAAATTTAATTGCATCTTTTTCAACAATTCTAGCACAAAATGAAAATTCATGCAAACGTTGGCAGATAAAAACGGAATCCCAAAACCAGTCCCTCCGCAAAAAGTAAGTGGAGGAGCGAATGGCCAGAGGAATTTAAGCTTTCAGTTTAGTTCAGTCAAGATATGAATACTAATAGCCACTGGAATGTTTGAGTAGCCAAAGGACATTGCACCGCCGCATCCCTTAGCATTTGCAACGCTGCTAAGGAACTCGGCCAGATCCCAAGACACCAGGGTGGCTTCCTGCTTCTTTGGAACTCTGGTGGTTCCTTTTGGCTGGCAATGTCATTACTCTTATTTGATTCCGTGGACATTCGCATAAATGTCAGATTGAGTTTATGCACAGGCAAAAGTTGAGTCCTTGAAATGCACCCAACTGCCGGGCATTTAAATGCAAAAGGCCTTAGTCTTTGGTCCCGAGACCAAAGACAAAAACGTGGCGAAGAAAAGCAATTAGCGAAATTAATTGCTCAAGTTTCGCTTTGAAATATTCATCCGTGAGATTAATTCGCCGGCCGACAAAGCTCCGTCATCGAGCATCGCCCTTCCCCACAATTTGTGGCTTTGACAATTGAATGGCTTTGCGGCCGGGACCGCTGATTGACTTGGCCCTTCTGCACGCGATTGAATTTGCAATTGCCAAGGGCTTGCCAACCTGGGGATCAGTGATGGCAATCTTGGATTAAACAAGAAAAAGACAAGGAAAATTGGCTACAATGCACTTAATTCATGATTGTTGGAGGTTGGATTGTAATATATAATATTTTATATTCTTAAAGTAGCTAAATTAATGCCTGCCTAAGCTTTTGTAGCTCTAAAATAGCTGACTTAACAGCACTATCTGCCTGGCTTAAGTACCATAAGATGGAATAAATCTTGGGCTCAACTTACCGCTATCGAAAAGCAGTGCCACCACTACAATGGTCAGGAGCAGGATGTGGGGCACATTCCTCACCCGCCGATCGTGGATATGTCCTGGCTGGCTAATTGTTCTCGCTTCGGCGGCCATTTTGCCGGAGTTGCTGTTATTGCAGTTGATGTTGCTGGGGCACTCGAATTTGTAAGCAATTCTGTTGCTGCTGCTGCTGCTACTGCTTCTGCTTCTACTGCTGCTGCTCATGGACTTAGTCAGGTGCATTGAATTAATTATTTCATTGCTGCACACGAATTTGCAGGCCGCAGATTGTGTTTGCGAGCAATGGGGAAGAGAAGGAGTCCTGTTGTCCTGCGATTTCTTCCAGTTGCACAACCAACTTGCAGGTAGCCTTTGCCTTTGCCTTCGCCTTCTGCCGACGTCTTCGACTGCAGCACTTACGGAATTTTAATTATTCAAAATAGGTTTTTAGCACAGCAGGCGGCAGCGGCAGGATACTGCTACAGGTTTTGTTCGTGGTTGAGGGACTGCACTGCTTTAATTGCTTGTTTTGCTGCAATGCATTTTCCTGGGGCGTTCGTAAATTTATAGCTGCAAAATACAAGGAAAACGATATGCGTTAGTTTTCTGCATGACCACAGAGAGTCCTTGTGTATGTTAGTGTGTTGTGTCCGGATCTATGTGCTGGTGTCCTGTGTAATGCAGCTAAGCCGCCGTGCCCAAATACATAATTCCTATGCAAATAAGCGTGGCCCAACACTGAAATTTATGTGCGCACAGCGTTTTGCATATCTGCACACAGAATAGAGGCGGCCAAGAGTGAGATACCCTTATGCACTCGGAAAAAATAGTGGTTCTTAAACAAGCTTTTACTTAAAATGAAACTTAGATTGCATAAATCAATTATTATTTTTATTTATAATCACAGAACCTTAAGTTTATTTTTAATTTGTGATATTTTTGAGAAATTTCTTTGGAAATATAGAGTCAACATCTCTTTATTTTTTATTTAAAATCAAAAAGGAACATAGCTTTTTGTCTCAAATGAGATTATTAAAAATCTTTCCAACTTAATGACTTGAACAATGATTCCATGTGTATAAATATAGTTTTTTCCATGTTCTAAATGACTAGTTTTTGGGCAAATAAAGCTTGTGAGACTTTTTGCCCGTGCACATACGAACATTGGTATATATTCGGAACAGTCTTCTTTGACTTTTTTCCACAGGCGAATAAAACTCAAGCAGAGCGTAAAAAAATATAAACGACGGCAGCAGGCAGGCAGGCCGGCAGGCAAAAAAACAAAATGCCAACGCAGGACAAGCTGCCAAATTAACAGAAATTTGGATCGTAGCCCGAACTTTTAGTCTCCGCAGGATAGTGCACAGGACCTCCTTCTCCTCCTCCTCCTCCTCCTGCTCCACCATTTGCAGTGACAGCAAGCCAACTGAAATAATCCCACAAAATATTGTGTGCGCATTTTGGATTTGTTGTCTTTGATTTGGCGCGGTTTTTCCACTTTTCGTATGTGTATATTTGGATTTTCCCATCGTTTTATTTAGCGTTTTTTATTGCAATTTCTGTACTTAACATGTTTTGGCAGTTGCGCATCCTGAAGCCAGCGGTATGGAGGACAAGCAGGCCGAATGCCGCCGCTGCCAATATGGGACTCATAAACAATTCTATTAAAATAAATGTAGCATATTTATAAGGGACCTCGAGTGAAGCGCAAAGTGAAAGCAAAAGCAACTTAAATGCTTTATAAATCGACTCGAATTTGTTTTCCTTTCGGCCTAAGATATAGGTATCACACAAAAAACAAAAAAAAACAGCGAGTGGAGCAACAAATATTGATGAAAGACATCGCAAAAAATATTGATAAAGAAGGTCCAGGGAAAAAAAGAGAAAAGATGATTGATTTTATGTGTTGTTTGGGGGGCCAAGACAAAAAAAGGAGCGGGCTGGGAAATATGATGATGACGAGCAGAGGAGCAATGAGTGACCACTGGGCCAAGAGGTTGGAACAGGAAATACGCAAAAATACACAAGGATATTACGTACCCAAAGCAATACGAATATACGGCTTTTATGTGCAGGACACAAGGAGGATTGGAGTTCGAGTATCTCGGCCACGAAATGAAAATCGAAAAACCAGGCCGCAAAAGCAACAACCAAAACCGCACAGCAAACGGCAGAGTGAGGGTGCGTATGAGAAAATTTGTATATTTGCCATAAAATAATTTATCAATTGGAAAATTTCTAGACAGTTTGCGGAGCGGGTGAGCGGAGGAAAGTGGGTTTGCGAACGGGTCCTGAAAGGAGTAAAGCGACCTAAAAGGACGGAACTCGAGAATGTGAAGGAAAAATGCCCAAGTCCTTGCCTATCGCCAACCTCCATCTCGTCCTTCATGCGTGTGTGTGTGTGTGTCTCTGTGTGTATTTGAGGGTAAAATTATGACAGGAGGAAATAAAAAAGCATAAATTTATTACCGAGCTGAGGACGATGACTACTAAAACTTGGCCACAGGCCCGTGGGGAGCACTCGCTGGAAAGTAAAGATCATAAATAATCGAAAGGGCGACAATATTGGCGCAGGACAATGACAATGAGGGGGTACTATGACGTTTTGTGGAGCATATAAATATCATTCGATTCCTTTTCGATTCGCTTTCGAATCGAGTCGAATTAAAGAGCTTGAAAAGTGCCAGACAAGGACGAAGCCAGAATAATTGTACAACAATTTGCCGTAACAAGGATATCAAATTTGCACAAGCTGAAACCGAAGCAGCGACCGCGACAGCAGCGACGTCGGCGGCGAAACAAAATAAAAAGGATAACGAGCACAATAAAAGAAATGAAATCGTAGCCCCTCCGAAACAGTTGCTAATTGGACAAAGCAACCGAAAAATGAAAGCCAAGCAACAAGAGGATATACGCGCCAAGGATTCCCGACCGCCGTGTGTGACCCAAAATCCAAATCCCCAAGCTCCTTTTTCCTCTCCATCAGTGTTACGCTATTCAAATGCAACCGAGCCAAAACACAAAAAAATATCTCAACAGAAGAAAAAAAAAGATGGAATAAACGAAATGAAATAAAAGAGATTGGCTTAGTTAGGTCTAATTTCTCGGGCAGACAAAGTGCTTAAAAAATAATTACACGCCGGCAATCAGCAAGTTGCGCTGTGCCAGGAAACAGGAAACGACGGACACGCGACGTCATCCGTCCGTCCGTTCGTACGTCTCAGTAACCTTCCGGTTGTGCTGGATCCCCCTTTGGCGGTGGTGGCGGTGCAGGATGGTGGTGCTACTCGTTAGCAATTGACCGCTTGCTGGCACGTCAAATTCAATTTAGTTGCCGGGCCCCCGAAAACGCCATGCCGCAAATTCGCCAACTTACAAGTAATTAGGCAGCTCAACTGCAGTTGACCACGCCCCCGCCCACAAGGCGGCCAAAGGCCATCCGCACACACTCAGACAAACATACATACATACACCTATACACGAAGGCATATATACACATACATACATAGATAGAGCAAGGACACTCAGGACACGCGTCGTCAGCTGCTTTGCGTGGACGATGGCATCGTTTGCTTGATTGTCATCGCTGCAGTGGCGTGTGGAAGCAGCTGTAGATATGTATATACAGAGAGAGAAATAAAGGAGTAAAATCCTTGAAAAATAAAATAACCAAGGAAATACTTTAAATAAGCTATATTATAAATTACAGAATTTTAAAGTATTTTTTAATAATTTTACTTGATTTTCAAACGAAGTTTCTTCGTTTCTTAAATAGAAAATAAAAGGATTTTTCTATACAAACAAAACAGCTACTAAACTAATATTTCCTGCATGTTTCCTACTTTTCCCAGCCTTTATAAATACTATAATTAAATGGGAAAATGCACTTTAATCAAGAAATTAATTCTCAAAGTGTAATTATATTTGCAGTTGCTGCTGCAGTTTCAGTTGTCGTTGGCTAATTGCACATTGTTCGGAGATGGTAGCTGGAAGCTAGAAAGCGGTCGCTTTCTTTGCCGCACTCCGTCGCCTTTTTACGTGTTTGACATGCACTTCAGCCGGGGTAATTACCAATTTGCGGCGCCAATTTGGCTACCCATATCCGCCAACACCAACTCCGAGGCCGTCGTCCTCGTAGCCCAGCCAGCAAAATTTAATTAGTTTGCCATCCAAATGCTCTGTCACACAGTACCTCAGTATCTCTCCTTTGGCCAGTTGTAGTCAACGCAAATGACACTTTTCGCAACAAGGACACAAGAAAATAAAAAAAAAATAGGGGCAAAAGGCATTCGATGGTTGGCCGCAGGCGTCGCGCAATTATGAGCAATCGCAGCTATCCCTTTGACCCTTTGTAATCTCTTTAATGGCAGGACATTGACGATGGCAACAGGAAGAGAGAGAAAACAAGAGCAGCCACGTCTGAAATAAAAGCGTTTCGGGCCCAGTTTAATTTACTTCAAGTGGCCGTCAATTAATTTAATTTAAGCCTCTCGCACAAAGCATGATTACACTTTGACACTTTGACAACGCACAGCTCCTGTGACCCAGAGACCCAGAGAATACCGAACAGATATGTCTATATAGCAACAGGATCGAGATGGGGCCCAAAGGGTTAGCCTGTTCGATAAGCGGACCAAAGGTTGCCAGGACAATCGAGGTCGCCTTTAGCCTCTGTCCAGGCTCAAGTCAAACTTTAATTAAAGCAATTTTCGTCCGGGCTGCACACAAATGTCAATGCACTTGCTCTCCGAATTATGCACATTTTTTTCGAATGTCACAAATGCTGCCAGGACACTTGTCCTTAAAAAGTGCTCTACACTGAGGGAATTATTAATTACCTTTGTTAGGAAATCAAAAAAAAAACCCAATCTTTAACTTTTAGATTGTAAAACTTTCCATACATTATCGACATTGCTTCCTCATCTTTGCATATTTCAGTCCAATCAATCAAGATTTTCTTCTTATTTTTGTACAAAATTTTAGACTTTGTTTGGTCTCCAATATACACAGCACAAAAATGTTGAATAAAATCAATAAATTGTAAATTAAATACTGAAAAATATGAATAACCAATCAACTAAGCATATTATATAGAAATTTGATCACTAAACAAAGAGAAGAGTCTATCTGGAATATATGAAAAATCAATCGAAATTTCCAAATGAACTTCTTAGACAATTTGATTTCCCGCTGTGCAGGAGGAGCAGAACAGAGCATAGCAGAGGAGCAGCTGGTGCAGCTGTATTCGATTTCAAGGACACTCGATGGGGCAGCTGCCTCATCCGTATCCGGATGCTGCTGCTGGTAGCCGGAAGGGCTCTTCACAGTTTATAGCTCCAAGTGGCCGTTGGCAAGTGCAAGTGGAAATTCTTGAGCGCACTTGGCTCTTCAACTGATTACGGTTTGTTTTCCATGCAAGCAACACTCTGCCAGACAACGAGGACTGCCCCCCGGCAAGGATAATGGCCAGGATATATGTATATGTACGGGTGGGGGGGGTGAGAGTAGATAGGGTATAGCAGGGAGAGACTTGTACGTGAGGAGATAATCCGCTAAAATGATTAAGTTGA